ATATAAAGAACGGAATTACGTAGCCGGTATCTTCTTTAGATTTAGAGTGGGAGATGGAGGATGTGTGGTTCTGGAACTTATTTGGAAATCTCCTTTCAACAGGAGGATAGTAATTTAGTGAATGCCATTTTTTCTTCGCCTGACTTGAAACATTATTACATCATAAACCTGGCCTTGTTTCTTTCTGATTTTGTAAAATGTCAATGAAAAAAATAGCAGTTCGATGGAAAAGTCAAATCATTTCTAAAGAACGAATAAACACGTAACTCTTATTTCACGAGATATTTTAGTTTCGAAAGGAATAATTCATTCACATTTTTGGATTACATTTTTAATATTGGGTTTTTAAACATGATGTATTTCGTAGTTGTAAATCATTCGAATGTCTATTTTATTTTAGTACTATTATTTATCATTATTAACGAAGTATTTATACCATAGAATTCTACGTCTATATACTATTATGTGTATTTATTTATATTTTATAAATTTATATATTCTATAAATTTATGAAATTTAATGTGAAAGTTTACGAAAATTATGTGAAAAATTTACACTGTATCTTAATGAATAGCTGAAAATGAAGTCAGCTTAGCGTAATATATGCGAAATTCTTACAGTACATAGTGAATACTCAATGTTCTTATTATTTGAATACTTTTGCTATTCATTGCACGTGTGTACAATACACACACGTTTTTACAATTATTATTATTTCAATATTTGTTTAAAACAGGAACAAGCATGCAAAGTTCAAGATGAAGTCTGTTGTCACGTTATCGTTGACCTTCCTCCAATCGACTCCCCAAGAATCGAAACATCTAGTCAGGGTTCAAGAGGTGTTGTCCACGAACCTGTATTCGTGAAACAAAATCCTGTAGTAATCCATCACAATGTACCAGAATCCTTTGGCGATTCTATAAACTCACAAGTAGTGTCGGTACCTGGTGGACCAATTGTCGAGCAGATTCCTACAGGTAAAACTATCTAACTTTTTGGACACGAATCTTTAACTTCTTGTTCTATGATTTATTTCTTAACACGTTAAATGCTGCACGATTTTATAGAGTAAAATACACAAAATGGAGAAACATTTTTACATTATAAATAATGGTACCTCATGCGGTAACATTCAGCTAGATGAACGTGTAATAATAATAATGCAATTCATTCAAATGATTTAATATTATTTATGTTTCTAAATAATCGTCGTTTAATTGAGTGAACTACAGTAATTCGATTTGGTTAGAGGGTATCGGTGACCCCCATGGAATTCAACGTGTTAACTAAGATCAATGTAATTATCTTGTCATCAACGATGTACAATACGATTTAAAAATGCATATATTTGAATCTTATAATTTAACCCCTTGCCCTATGACTTATTTCTCAACTATTATTAATTCAACTATCCCATCATTCGAGTCTCGCACGATATTATAAGCTAAAAGCTTAAGATATAGAAGTAGATCTACAGAGAATACTAATCTACAGAGTTGCTTGTTCTAAAATTACTGTGAATGACAGTAATTGTTACTTTCTTGGTTTTTTCGTTTCTTCTTTTGTTTAAGATCCGGTATTTTATTGGGTTCACTTTGTATTTATAAGAACATTACTTTTATTAAATAATAATAATCATTAGGTAACTGTTTTATGCAACTCAAACATTGTCTGTGGAACTACGATCTTACGTTTAATACTTTAGGTAGAAAAATGGGTAAAATATTTTTATATGCAATAATTAAAATTCTTCTCTAATAATATTACACTTATTGCAACACTTTTATAAAATTCTTAAAATTGCAGGTGTTCTCACAATCCCGACACACGTGCAGCTTGGTTGCGCGGCAGCTCTCCTTTGCGTGGGGGAACAGTTTTGTACTGTGGACGGTACAATTAGTCCGGAACCTGTTTCTTTGACAAGTAGACAACTATTGCAACGAGTACCGCTGAGTGTAAGTATAATTACTTATTTAATTTTGTAATAACTCTTGTGAATATTTTTTATGATACAGTCAATCCTCGATAAGTCGAATTTCAAGGGAAACTGAAAAATTTTCGAGTTATAGTTTTCATAGCTGAATGGATGGGAATTAAATTTTTCGAAATAGTTTTTTTAGAGATTAAAATATTTAATAATTTATTTTATAATTGACATATTTTAATTTAATAAGATATAGATATCTCTATAGTTGAATTGAAGGATATGAAAATATTTTTTGATTTATGGGGTTTTTATACCTGAACAAAAGGGAATGAAACTTTTCAAGTGAAAGAGGTTCGAGTTATCGAGGTCCGACATTTTATAAAAACAATGTATTTATTTGCTACACTTATTTACATTCCTTTCGCAGTCGTGCAAGCATCCCGAAACTGGAATAATCGGCAAATGTTGCCGGGATCCGAATTACGTGGATCCTTGGCCAGCAACAAATCTCCCTGCGAATTACAGCGGCGGTTTCGACGAGCAAGGTTTCCCGACATTTTTGAACATTGCAAGAGTACGACCAGTCGTAACGACACCACAGCCTATTATACAAACGCCCCGCCCTGAACCAACGAAACAAACAGCGATACAATGGGAAAATTCGAACATTTCCACGAAAATTTTGGTCCCGCCACCGGAAACTTCGGTGGAAACTAAAAATGCGGTAGACGGGACGAATGTCGTTGAAGTAAAAGCGAAGTGCGGTGTCAGACACAGGGTAATTTCAACGATTGATCCAAATATTTCGCGATTTCTCGAAAAGCATTCGATATAAAAGACAACGAAAGAATTCCTTTTATATTGGGTCATCCGATAAAATAATTTAGCTTTCCATATTTCTTTTATTTTTACAGATAAAGATAAACAAAACTATTTTTAAAGTAATTATAATGTATAAATAGATTTCATTATATATAATGAAGACAAATATGTTTTAGATTGAAAACAGTTTTGTTTATCTTTATTTTAAAAAATAAAAGAAATACAAAAAACCTTATTATTTATGCGATTATCCAATAAAAGGAATAATAAAATTTTGTTAGCAATTTTTTATATTTTTTATTAATATTTTATTTATCAGATAAGTATTGATAAGTATTAATAATATATTATTATTTTCTGTAAAAGTTTACTATTATAATGATTGTTATATTATTATTATTATTATATGTAGTTAGCAAATAGTAATTGGATTATGTTACTCAATATGATCTGCTGATTTAGTATTGCAATTGCTATTAGTACTAAAAGTTTGATTAAGAAATCCTTAGACACTGAATATTGATTGAATTTGATTGAATATTGATTGAAACTATTCAGTAATTGCTGATAGGTCAGATATCTTAATGTGTTACAGGCATTAACGATCTTCAACGTTATCAGACCAACAGTTAGAAAGATTTCAATCGTTTCCGTAAATTATTATTACAGAATCCAGAGATAAGCGATTCTCGGACCGTTTTCGGAGAAATCCCGTGGCAGGCAATGGTTCTGCATTCCAAGGATAAAAAAATTCTCTGTTCCGGTGCTCTCGTTAGTGCTCATGATGTATTGACAGCGGCCAACTGCGTTGATAGGTGATATTAAATTTTTCGTGCGCCAGGCTTCGACAAAACGATAGCGTAACCGGATGTCAGCTGATTCATCGTGCAAATGTGAACCAAAGATATAGAATGTTGTTTCTTTACTCGAAACTTCTTTCTCTAAAGAAGAACAACGATTTAGTTGATGTGTCTTTCGATTATTTATTATTTCTATTTACATTAATCATCATCAATGATTATTTTCTTAATGAGAATTATCAATTATTTGGTATTAAAATTCTTACTTTACACTATTAATACTTATGTTACACTGTGTTCATTTAGTATGGTGCCAAATGACTTGTCGATCAAGTTGGGGGAATGGAAGCTAGGATATGAATTGAAGCACGAGGAACCGCTTCCTTACGAAATTCTTAATGTATCGTACATCAACATACATCCTGGTTATACGAAAGGTGTCGGGGATCACGACCTCGCGGTTTTGCGCCTCGAAAAACCTGCCGTCCTCGATTACCACGTGAATCCTCTCTGTTTACCCCAAACAAATCAATTGCAAGAGAAAAAGTCGTGTATCGCCACAGGTTGGGGAAAATCTATCCTTCAAGGTAAACAACTACTGAAAATCCTTTACTTATTCTCAATATAAATTGAAATATAATTTTTAAATATAATATAATAATTGTATTTAACTATAATTATTTAAACCGTTAATACATTGAACATTTAAAGATAATTATTTAAACCGCTGATATATTGAACGTTTAAATATAATAATTCAAATCAAACAACCATTCAATTAACATTTTTCAGATTCCGTGTTTTATTATTTACAAAACATGTTCTTACAAATATTTCACGCGCTATTCAAGTAAACATAAATCATTGAATTGGAGAATATTTAACTATTGATTTTTTATTACTAATCGTGTCTTTTATTGTCATGGATAATTAATTTTTAGCTTCCTTTAAAAATTACTTTTAATAATGTTTAAAACAAGAACGTCAAGAAAGGACGTAGGTACTGCAAAGTTACATAAGTTTAACACAACATTATTCTCATTTAGCGCATTATACTGGGGCAATTATGCATGCGGTGGACATGAATATACTTTCGACGAACTTCTGCAAGGAGCAATTATTAAGTGCAAACGCGAACCCGGATGCAGCGAACGGGATCATTTGCACTGCACCGAAAGAAGATATTAATAATGTTTGCGAAGTTGACGTTGGTGGGCCTCTTGCTTGCAAAAACGAACAAGGATATTACGAATTGATTGGAATTTACAGTCAAGACACGGGATGCGTCGCATCGAATCAAGTAAGAACTTCTTTAAACATTTTATTTCACTCCTTTTTACTATATCAATCAATCACTATTTACTGCATAGTTTATTCTGTTGTTCCTAGAAGCATTGATGTTCATTCATTTAGATCTTGAGAATCAGAAGTTCAAAAATAAACACTTGGAATACATATCTGTGTAATTGCGTCAATCAAAATCGACATAAACACTAGCAAATAATGTTTACAAAATTTAATATGCGTCAAATTGATGCGTCCTGAGGTGTTAACACTAAAATTACCGAGCAGTAAAATTGAAGTTTTTAAATTTTTCTATAGACGCATCAAGGATAATTTATTGTGTATCGAAATTTCAGTTGATTTACAATTCAGTTTACGTATTACTAAATCAATTATTTTAGTAATTTTTCAGAAGGGCATCTATTACCTTTTTGATAATTGTGAAAGAAGGATTCTTTCTTCTTACTTTTTATAGAAAAATATTCTTTTGTTTAAACATTCTTTTTCGTAGATAAATGAATTATAACAACATAGATGTGAAGAAATAACTCATGCTGCAATTTGTTTGGGTCTTTCACAGCCAGGAATATTATGATAGATGTTTAAAGTTTACAGGTGTGAGCCTTGTGCGTTAGGAAAGATTTGCAGGCAATTCGTTAGCATTGCAGCTGGTATCGTCAGAGGTCTGTAGACTCGTTGATATTATATCAGTGACACTGTATCAGCAAGTCGACGAATAACGAATCGTCGGCAAATCTTTCCCGATTACAAGGCTTACACCTGGAAATTTTGAACACCTATCATAATATTTCTGGCTATGAAAGATTCAAACAAATTGCGGCATAAGTTATTTCTTTACATCCATGTTGTTATAATTCATTTATCTACGAAAAAGAATGTTTAAATAAAAGACAATACTTCCATGAAAAGCTACGTGTTGCACACAAAGAAATTCCAAGTTATAAGAAGTTTTAAAAGATATAATTTATTTGAAAAAATATATTGTTACTTACTGGTTTGTTATGTTTGCTAAGTTTGTTAAATGCCTCTTTAATAAATCGTTAGTCCACGTTTATGTAAATTTATTAATATGAATTATACATATTGCGAGACACGTGTGAACTTTGAAGTTCTAAAAACTACTGTCTGTTTAATATGAAAATTACAATGATTCATGCAAGTAAAAAGTTGTAAATTTGCGTAGCTAATATTTCAGCTAATTATAGTATGATTCGCGTTTTTAATTAGTCTATTGATCGAATGAGACGTTTTCAACGACTTAGACATTCTCATCTAATGAACAACCATCGAATTCGATATGTTCTTAAAATCACCGCTGCAAATGGAAAATGTTGGGCACATAGAATTAATAATATTTGTCGTTTCAGGTTGCAATTTTCGCTCTGTTTGACGATAGATGGGTGAAGGATACTATGTTGACGAAATACTTTGAACAATCATTTTCGACGGAAACGGATGAAATAAATAGAGGGGTGGTAATATCCGATACCTACAGAGACAGTATTTTATCCGAAGATAATCAGTACCTACCTCCGAATTGAAAATCAATCGGACAATCTGTTTTCGTTGCTTATTTATTATATTGTCATTATTGACAAAAACAACAGAAATTACTTCTAAGAAATGATTCATTTTTACTTGTACAATTAAAACAACTTCTGTTTATTTTGTACAATTCTTTAATGATGATGATAATACACATTTTGTAATTTTAGAAAAAAATGATCAAATAAACCATGTTGATCAAGATAAAGTACTTTTTTTATATAGGTTGATCTTTCAGAACATGTTATATTATCATTAAAATGACTAATGATATGTATACAAATAAACAAGCAAAAATAAATATATAATATACGAGGCTAATAACAAATAATAAATAATTAATAACAAATTGTATATTCATTTCATTCAGATGATCATAACCGTTCAAACTTTTAATTTTTTTTCGTTGAAAAATATAACGTCATACAAGTTAAAGCGAGACGCAAAATTATTTTAATGATTAGTTAGAAGATAATTACTGTAATGTAGTCGAAGAGAAATAATTTTATAAACAATGGATTATCTTAGGAGATTTATGATGCTATTCTCGTCCCCCGAGTGGAAAAGGTGGCAGCCGTTTTAAGCTGCTTCTTGTCCGACCTCGGGGGATCGGGGGACTTGGTACGCTGCCTGTACACGGGACTGATGCGGTCCATGGCTTTGTATGGGGCCCCTATGTGGTTTCCGACGAGGATGGCCAGCCTGCGCAACAATTCTTTGCTGCGCCGGCTCCAGAGGTGGATGGTCATAAGGGTCATCCGCAGGTACGGGATAGATTCTTGATTACGCGGTCGACGAGATAACAGCGGTGCAGAGCACGACCTCTCCGCATTGCTGATAAGCAAGGAGTACAAGGGTGGAGAGGAGGTATACCTCCCCTCTCCAGATATGGGGCCGGCCTTAGTAAAGAAATAGTCGTCCGGGCTTGGGGGAGCCACGGGTTAGTTCTGTATAGTCCTCGTAGCTCCCCCTACAAAACCTGTAGAAGGTCGCCGTAAAGGTTTTAGTGGGTACAACCCCACACTACCGCTCGACCGGTCCCCCGGACGGTCGGGGGTGTTTGGTGTTAAACTTTCTCCACGTAAAAAAAAGGAAAAAAAATTGTTATCCTATGCAGTTCAGAAACAAACATTTCAAAAATTTTTAACAAAATTATAACTAGAAGATACACTTTCATAAATTGATTATTGTGTAAAAAGACAAACTTTATTAAATGTATTTAAAAACGATATATCTGCACAAATTAAATGACTAACTGATTGCATTTAATTTTAGAATACAATATTTCTGTATTAAATGTTTTAAACATTTTAAACAGGTAAATACAATTGTATTCTTTTCGAATTTCAATTTCTTTAAAAAATATATTTAAAAGAGCGCGCTTATAATGCTTTGTACATACAATCTATGTGTATATACAAATTGATGTTCCATTCAGGTGTTCATATTTAGGTTTGTCGTTCGGTGGCGCCAGTTTGGTGCAATCGTGTCCACTTTTGGTACTAAAATATTGAATTCCATCCTCTGCTATCACCCAAAACGACATCAGTTCAAAAAGTTGCGTGCATTTAAAGACAAAAATTATGTTCCTGTAGTAGAACGACGAAATTTCGAAATCAGTTTTAGACTTCTAATTCTAATTTACACTTCATATTAATCGAAAGACCCTACTTCCATTAAAACATGGATGGAAGAAAAATGTCGTGAGTATTTCATTACTACTATTTAAACATTTTTAGCTTCTGGTTTATTTAATTTCTTTGTAAAAAGCCAAGATTTTGTGTGAGTAATGTTTTGAATATTAAAATGCTCTGCAAATTCGAACAAATGATAGGTTAAACATCATTGTTCCTTCTTTCTTCGTTGATTGTAATAATTTTACCATGACGTATTATTAAACTATTGAAAATGTAAAAAGTGTTAATTTTGACAATTGATGATACATAATTTCGAAATAGATGTCTTTCGAATATTAGGTTAGTTTACTGATTTTCAATTATGCTTTTAACACCAGTGTAAAACTTATTGAAAACTTTGAAGAAATGTAAATGATATATTTCACTATTGCAATTTTTATGTTTGAGACGTAACTATGATTTTTAATATTTTAAATTGTGAAATATTTTTTACTTCTAAGATTACAGATTATAATTTTGCTTACTATATATATTGAATATTAAATTATAACGGTGGCCTTTATCTTAAGCTTTTGAAGATATTTTAAACTTTTGATACATTTTTTCTGTTTTTTCTGGCGATTGGTAGAAGTTTTTAAACAATAATATCAAATAATATTACTTGTAATAAATTCATGCTACATGTAAAAGTATTATGTAGTGCTTCTTATTAACCCTTTTCGCTTCAGACATTTTCTTGGTATCATAGTGCAACAACTCTGATACTTTTTTATAATAAAGTATTTACTAATGAAAGACTTTGTTTTCAAAGCAGTAATTTAATTTTTTATTCATTTTATAAGTATGGTTTATTCTAATATAAATAAAATTTAAATTATACATTTTGTAATTCGCTATGGTGTGAGACTTTTATGTAACCGTGCTAATATCAAAATCTATGTATTGGAGCTTACAGAGTTTTCAAATATATGACAAATATTTGCTGTAGCAAAGCCAATGGAATGTTAAAGATTAAATATATAAGTGTCATAAGCAAATAAATTTGCATTGTGGAAATGGCTGTAATAAAAATAGAATAATATATGTCAGATGCATTTAGTATATTTAATAATTCATTCATTTACTTCCATTTCCTTCAGAACATCGGGGGATACCCTGTACCAAATTTTGGAGATTCCAAAAACTGCCACATGTGAGGATATTAAGAAGACTTATAGAAAATTAGCATTAAAATATCATCCTGATAAAAACCCAAATAATCCAGAAGCTGCTGAGAAGGTAAATTAAATAAAAGAAATTTGTTGAGATTATCTTATTGAATTCTTCGTAGTTCTTCTATATTTGTAGCATGTATGTTAAATAGTATTAAGCTAATGAAGTTATACATTTTTTGGGGCATATGGACATTGTATTTATGGGACTTCAATATAAATACTACCAAAGTTTATCTCAAATGGTCAATGACATTATCATGGTCATAAGTGAGTTGATAAGAAGCCTAAAGCTGTATTTTCAAAATGATTCAAATCAGTTTTTTCTTACACAAGTGTTTAATATTTTTTCTTTTATAATAGTTCTTAAAAAGTTAAGACTATGCTATAGGTATATATTACTGTGGTGTGAAGTAATTTTGAACTACACTTAAACTTTACATGAATAATTTAGTTTCCTTTTATTTGAAGAGTTCTTATAACTTTATCTATACAACATAAGATATGTAAGATGAAAATATTAAAGTAAATTGAATAAGTTTTAGATTAGATAAGGTTTTATCCTGATCGGGGTTACTGTTTCGTGGAACCATGCAGTTTATTAATCATTTAGTAACCATTTCAATATTTTTAAAAAGATTAGAAATATGGCAGATTTAATATTCTAATAGTTATTATTAGTTTAATAAAGGAATAAATGTTTTTCTTTTTAAATAAATGAATTATAAAATTTTAATGTATAATCAACATGAATGATACTGTGTTTCAGTTTAAAGAAATAAATAGAGCACATGCTATATTAACAGATTTGTCGAAACGTAACATATATGACAATTATGGATCCCTTGGATTGTATGTTGCTGAACAATTAGGTGAAACAAGTGTTAATACCTGCTTCTACACTACTCCTACCTGGTGCAAGGTAAGTCCCTATTAATTTTTATATTTTTATATAAACCAGTATTAATACAATATTACTTCATTAATATTAATCACAAATGAGACGACTGTTGTCTACTATACAGAATATTGAATATTTATGGGTTGTATTGTCATTTTATATTTATTAAAGATAATTAACGCAGCTGTTTTCTTTTTAAATTTTTCTAAATGAACATACATATTACATTAAAAAACACAATCAAATAAAGATGTCACAAGTATCTCTATTTCAAATTAAGTCGACAATTGGTTTTAATATAGTCTGTTTACTTTTTGTAGTAAATAATTATAAAAAATAATGTTCTTGTTACAGGCACTTTTAATATTGTGTGGTCTGTTGACTGCATGTTATTTTTGCTGTTTCTGCTGTTGCTGTTGTTGCTGCAACTTCTGTTTCGGTAGATGCAAACCGATACCACCAGAGAATAGTGGAGTATACCATAACCTTCAGGTAAACTTAACATTTTATTATTTAATTATAAAATAAATAATTGTAGATTGGTTTAAATTTTATATTAGGTATAAAAATACACACACCTTAAATAATCTTATTATACTGATTATTATGTATTATAGCTATATGCACTTTATTTAAAAATTTGTTGGATGCCTTTGCTGAAAAGGAACTCCTTAAAATTTATTGAAACATTTAGTGGCATTAGGAAGGCAAAAAATTAGGGTAAATTGTAGATGATGGTTTGAATGTTTGAGTGATAGATTTATTATGAAAAGTATTATTATTTTTGAACTTTCTATTTATCCAAGTTTTATAATACATTTCTGTAATATTTATTTATCAAATATAAATTCAATTTGTAGTACATTATTTTAATTTTTTGACTTGATAAAACTTGCACAAATTTTTTTTTACTGTCAATTTCATTATTTTTATGATTTTTTAGTATTTCGGTCTAGCTGTTTTCAATATATTCAGTTTTGATTTTGAATGTAATATTTTAATTAATTTTTAAGGATCTTAGAATCTTAAATTAATTCTACATTTTTTTCAGTCG